TGTACAACACAGTATGACGAATGTACAACACAATACGACGAATGTACAACACAATACGACGAATGTACAACACAATACGACGAATGTACAACACAATACAACAAATGTACAACACAATACGACGAATGTACAACACAATACAACAAATGTACAACACAATACGACGAATGTACAACACAATACGACGAATGTACAACACAGTACGACGAATGTACAACACAGTACGACGAATGTACAACACAGTACGACGAATGTACAACACAATAAATCGGACATGGCAACAGGGATAAAACTCAGAATGGCATTATGTTGAGACTTCGTAACTCATCGACCATGTATGGTCTAGTTGAAGACTAGAATATAGACACAATATATATATATACTTATAATTGAATTTAATTGATGCTGAGAAAGTTATATTATATAAATCCACATACAATACCAATGAAACACGATGAAAAAAAAGTGTCCTTCATTTGTCATTGACGACAAAAGTCATTCTTTTGTAGTTGAAAAAGAAAATTTATCCGAATTCCCAGGTCTTTGTGTAAACAAGTCACACGAGAATACTGTTTATCATGCGATGAATAAAGTTAACATGACTCTGCTTACCTTGCAGATAAGCTCAATATTTCATGAGGATATCAAACGTGTTAACATAAAAAGAAACTGTTTGGTTAAAGGGCATATGATATTATAGTCCGTGTTTTTTCTGTTGTCTTCGTTATCCATGAAATTCGATTTAGTAGCTAGAAAAGTCTAGAAAAGAATATACCACCCGTATCACCATGAGACAAATGCAAGCCAGAGTTTTCGATACAAAGCAAATAAAATCTATACTGTAGTTTCCCCGTTTCCCAGTTCAGTTATATATAACAGGAGCATATAATTATTTTATCAAACAACTTCAATATCTTTTTACCGTTCAAATCACTATTACTCTGATACTTAAACTCCCCCTATCTGCCTAGTCTTCAACTAGACCACACAATTTCAACTCAATTTCTAGGTAAACACAAAGACAATCTACCCCAAGTGTCCTAATTTAGCCCAAACATTCGCACTAAAACTGTACATAGCCTCACTGAACATCCGGGTTATTTGTTGATGACAACAATACACACATTCAATGGTTTAAATCATTAAGCATTTAAATTGGGAGCTCGATAAGCAACAACATTTGACATAGACCAATCAAAACATCTGATATAGACCAATAAAATCATTGGACATAGACCAATCAAAACATTTCACATAGACCAATCAAAACATCTGATATAGACCAATCAAATCATCGGACATAGACCAATCAAAACATTTGACATAGACCAATCAAAACATCTGATATAGACCAATCAAATCATCGGACATAGACCAATCAAATCATTCGACATAGACCAATCAAATCATCTGACATAGACCAATCAAATCATCTGACATAGACCAATCAAATCTTTTGACATAGCCCAATCAAAACATCTCACATAGACCAATCAAATCATCTCGACATAGACCAGTTTTCCGTCAAGCTCATAAACATATTGCATTTACCGAATATAGACGAAATTGGTTCAAGTATGCACGAAAAATGGCATCCTACCTGTGGGCCTTTAAAACGCACGTTTTTCCCCCATCTTACTGGAGATGAGAAATTACTTGCAGGTAATACAAGAAAACAGCTGCTGTACTCTATATTACACACTTAGACAACCTCGTATTACAAACGACTATTTAATATGGTTGTATATATTCACATAGTGAATACAAGAATTATATGTTTACACTATTTGCTAAATCATTGTGAAATAATAAATAAAGTTCGTGTATTTTTTTTCTACAAAACATTCCGCCCGGCCTGCCGTCGTTGTGAAGGCTCTGGAAGGGCGGAGGTCATCGCGCCGCGTCCTGTTCGATATGGGACTCACAGCGACGTATACAGCGCATGTAAAATACACTTCTTACGTAAAATTCGAACACGCGCTGCGCGACGACCACTGCCCTTCAAATATCACACGCACCGTAAGCGGATTCGTCTTCAAAATGTCGAATGGAAATCACGCCATCAATCGACAACTCCAGCCAACAGCGGATCGTTCGTTTAACTATTCACCGATTGTTCCACGTCTACAGTATACCGATCATTGAATATGTGTAATAACGGAAACATGATTTGTTTGTAAGGTTCCTCGCCGCGCCCTCAACGGTCATAATGAATATGAATAAATTGATCTGACATTGACGAGTCGACTTCCTAACTATATAGCCTGTACGAATCTAACATTGAAGGGTGGCAGTCGCCGCGCCGCGTTCAGTTCGATATGGAACTCACAGCGACGTATACAACGCGTGTAAAATACATTGTTTATTTACATGAAATTCGAACACACGCTGCGCGACGACCCACGCGCTTTAAAACAAATCAACTGTATACTTGCTTTCTCAGGACACCAATTGTGATCATTTTCAACCATGAGAAAAAAATAAGAATGAAAATGTAAAATAATCTATTGATAGATCATGACAGGACAAGATGCTGCGTATTTGTTCAGTCGCTCACACAGTGAACAGGGG